GTTTTGTGAGCAGTGATGCGGGTCGAAGGGCTGCAGCATCATCAGTGACTGGGTGAAACCTGCAGGACGGACGTGAGTGAATCACTGGGGTGCACTGAATATGACGGCGGTGCCGAATGATCCTCAGGATGCGGTGACTCATCTGGGTTTAGTGAAGTCAAGAGGAATCAAGTTTAGTGACAAATACCGTTCTTGAATGATGAATTACATGGGAAACACCTTAAAGATCATGTGTGTCAAAGATCAAGTACCACGTTAACATCAGCACATTCACTCGTGTCATTTCACTTTCTATATTCTGTCAGTGGATTCACATGTTGTTTTGACCTCATTGCCTTTCAGAATATCTTTGCTCCACAGAAGAGAGAAAAGATTTAGAACCACAGAACAGTCTTTTTTTTTAATCATTTTAATGAAAAACATATGCTTCATTTATTATGTTATTACCACTTGAGGGAAAGAAACTCTACCAGATGTTTTCTCCTAACTACACAACTAATTGTGTCGACAGTATTTAACTTATTTTAGATAAACATGTCTAATCAGGTGTGAAAATGTACTGTAAAAGTGATCAAAAGTTACAAAAGTTTTATATTTCAAATAAATGATGTTCTTTTGATCGTCATCAAAGATTCCAAATAAATAAATCCATACAAATATGAAGCAGAACAACTGTTTTCAACATGAATAATAATAGGAAATGTTTCTTGAGAACCAAATCAGCATATTAGACGGATTTCTGAAGGTTCACGTGACTGACATCACGTCATGATGCTGAAAATGTAGCTTTGCACCCCAGGAATAAATTACATTTGAATTTTGATCAATTAATTTTGATCTTCTTTCAAAACCATTAAAACCTCTTAAAGACCCCAAACTTTTTAATGATAGTGTATGAATAAATAAACATAATTAGTCATGTTTCTTTACATTTTGTTGTAAACCTTCACTCTAAAAAATGCTGGGTTGTTTTAACCCAATGTTGGGTCAAATATGGACTAACCCAACTGTTGGGTTAAATTTTGGTTACATTTTTAAATTAGCTTTTTAACCCAACAGTTGGGTTAGTCCATATTTGACCCAACATTGGGTTAAAACAACCCAGCATTTTTTAGAGTGTTGTTTTGGACTAATGAAACACTGCTGTTGTGTGGGTGTTGAATTTCTTCGAATTGTAATTCAGTTCATTTCTCTTCCTGCCATTGCAATTCAACTTTCAATTCCAATAAAACACCAACTTGTGAACTGAGTGGAATTTAAGTTCATTAACTGAAACAAAATGCTGCAAGTTTTTTTTTTAACAAATTAAAATAGAACGTTATTTTGAAATAGAACATTCTATTAAAATAGACGGCACTGAGCTGATGTCACGTAAAGGAATGGTTCTTATGGAGGTGACATCACCATTCCTGGCTTCAGCTGCCAATGGGAGGATAAGCTTTCAGTATACAGCCATAATACCTAATTATAACTAAAGAAGATGCTCCACCGGGTCAGCTGACATTTAATCAATAACAGACGTGATGGATGAATGCAGCAGCTGCTTTAAAGAGCAGTGTGGAGAATAGAAACAAGGTGATAAATAGATTATAGAATTCACTGTAGCCACGTGAAAATCCATTTTGAGCAGAACAGATGATGACATGAATGGTCTTTAGAAGGACTAACCTTAAATCCTGTTCTCACTCTTTCTTTGTAACCTGCATTGCAGGGAGAGACTGAGGAAAGTGATTTAAAAGATCTATGTCGGTCTCCTCGTGAAACGCTTGCGGTCCGGTATCAGAATGAGCTGCTCAATAAAGCTGATTGCATTTCACTCCTGTTGTTTGGCCTTTGTGCCGAATCCACAAGAGCACACATTAGATCTATAGACAACAAACTGAGAATATTGACATGGCAGGTTACAGGCCATTAGGGTTTACTCTGTCAAAATGAGCTACTAACTACATTTTTGGAGTGGAGGAGATCTGTGGTTCGCATGAAAACGACATAATTAACAGGCCTGGAAAATGTATTGGAAGTTTCTAGAGTGACATAAAAAAAATGCATGTGCAGTAATCACAAGCAAGTAAGTAATGGAAATTAATTGATTTAAGGGTGTGGGAATCATAAACATCAACTTGTTTGTAATCGGACCTACTTGGAAAGATGCTTGTTGGTGAATCTCATAAAATAAAAGTTAAAAGTAAATTTTTACTGTGTAAAAATAAGTGAAAATGTTTACTGAAAAATTTCTGGGGGTAAAAAAAAACAAAAAAATGAACACATTCCAGTAATAAAAAATGTTAGAGAAAAATTGGTGTAGAATTTGCAATAATTCGAAACAATTAGAATTCGAAACTATTTTCATTCAGAAATTGCTAGTAAATTTGGCCAATAATTGCAAAGAAATGGCAAGTAACACAATGAATTAAATGTGAAATTTTGAACATTAAAAATTATTTTGGATAAATATCTAATCAGGTGAGAAAATCTTTTATTTTTCAATTCATTTTTCAGCAAGGATGCATTAAATTTGTTAACAGTGACAATGAAGACGTTTATAATATTAAAAAAATATTGCTGTTTCAATTAAATGCTATTCTTTTGAACTTTCTATGCATAAAAGTATCATAAAAAGTATAACTGAAATAGAATAGTTTTTTATAAAACACAATATTCAAAAAACCTTGATTTTTGTTTATAATGATTATTTATCTTTATGTTTTTATTAATTTTTTGTTTTTTGAATATTAAAGCATGTCAACATTCTGTTACACCAAATACACAAAATAATGATCTTTAAAAAAGCATCATATGACCCCTTTAAGAAATGTGTTCTTGTGAATAAGAAAGTTAATTATCAGTTCAACAGCATTGGCACTACCAGAAGAATAAAGAAATATATTTTTCAATGAAAAGTTTTAATCACATTTTATAAAAGGAGATAAATAACTTAAAAATTGTCAAATTTTAAGGAATACACATCAGAATTTCCCATTTTTCCCCAAAATACATACATACATATATATGAAATATATACTGTATATATATATATATATACAGGTGCATTTCAATAAATTAGAATGTCGTGGAAAAGTTCCTTTATTTCAGTAATTCAACTCAAATTGTGAAACTCGTGTATTAAATAAATTGAGTATTGAGTACATGTACAGTAAATTAACATACTTTCCAGAAGGCCAACAATTCACTAAAAAAATGTTTTTATTGGTTTTATGAAGTATTCTAATTTGTTGAGATAGTGAATTGGTGGGTTTTTGTTAAATGTGAGCCAAAATCATCACAATTAAAAGAACCAAAGACTTAAACTACTTCAGTCTGTGTGCATTGAATTTATTTAATACACGAGTTTCACAATTTGAGTTGAATTACTGAAATAAATGAACTTTTCCATGACATTCTAATTTATTGAGATGCACCTGTATATACTATTAAAATAGTTTTTTTTTTTTTTTGACAAATTTAAAGCCTATTTCTTGGTGTGTTGGTTGGGGGTTAAAATGATTAAATGTCTTTTTCTCTGTTTGAACTTGTGGTGTTCTCTTCACGACTTGCCCACCGGTTGATTTGCACTATTAGGATATATACCTAATTTGATTATAGAGTTTTGTGAGTGTTACATTCCCTTAATGTCCCTAGACAAATCAAAGAAGTTTTGGGTCGTAACACTTGATCAGAAACATACACGGTGCGTTCCAAACAGGATATATCACCCTCCGAAGGGCACTTCGGAGTGAAAACAATCATGGCCGCCATATTGAAGGGTCGTTCCAAACCAAAGTGCTCAAAACTGGCCACTTCAAAGGGCCCTTCGGAATTAAGGATTTCTAAGGGTACACTTCAGGCCCCCATGATCCTTTGCACAGGGAAGTTGTTTGGCGTCGCGAAGTTCGACTACTCCGATAAATGTATGCATAGTATTTTTCTATACTACTGTAATATTTATACGAGTTAGATTTGGTACATTATTATGGTCAAAACGACATTGTAGGCCTACTTCAACAAAAATACTTTACAGCTACCTTTATCAGTCCATTCAAATGTTTCAAATACATAAACACAATATACATTACAAATACATATTGCATTACATTACATACACAAATATAGATTATATTTAACGTAAAAGACAATTGGGGATCAACCAGCGTACAAAATGTGCAACGAAGGTGCCTCCTTGATCGTCTCGTTAAGATGTGCGTTCCAAAAGAGTTTTTCTTTTACCCCTACACCCTCAAACCCTTCGAAGCTCTCACTCCGGAGGGTAAACCCTTTGAAGGGATTAGGGCATAGGGATGAGCCCTTCTGAATGGAACGCAGGGATCGTCTATGCTCCGAAATGATGAAAAAACATGTGACTAAAAAGCCCATGGCTCTTCCAGGTTTTTCCAGGTTTTAATCCCTGCGTCCCAATGTTCATACTATCCATCCTAAATAGTATGTGGATTCGGGTTCAGAACTACAAACACAAATAAAACGCGTTAAAAACTACAAACGTGGCGGATGTGCGCGACCGACGGTAAAGTTACTAATAATCAACATGAACCTGGTAAAAATATTTATTTAATGTTATCTGTATTATATTTCATCTGCAACAACAATGTGAACTTTTATAAACATCCGTTTGGCCATTAACTTTTCAATGCATCATCATGCAAAAATATGAGCGGAGTTCTCTGCATAAATACCCATGGCTTGCTTCTTTTCTCTCCAATACGATAGGAAATTAAATTAAATGTGGAGGATGTTAACTGTGACAAGATGATTGTGACAGTGCAGTTTATCATTAAAATAACGCCATAAGTTTACAGTGACAGGATGCGACAGAGCGGTCCTTTAAAGACGTGCAAATTACGCTAAGCTCATGAATATAAATGAGGTCAATCTGAAGTTGTTTCCTAACTGGAGCGGAGAGACACCTAATTAATATTCATGAGTCTTATTCGCAGTCTCCCTTTACAGAGACCACGCCCACCTCCACTGTTCAGGGCTCACTTTTAATAAAGCTTCCACATTTTGAATCATCATGGCAGCCGGTAAAGCGTCCTTGGTGGCGCTTGGACTTCAGTTCTGTGTGAAAAATAAGCTTCTGTTGAATTCAGCTTTGCCTGGTATTGTCAGCTGTATTAAAAGAGGTAAGGGCTTTTAACGACTCTTGAATGACAGGAATGTTTATGTGATGAATGTCATTATATTCGTCTTTGACACTGACATTCTGACAAGACAAGAACACCCAGTATGTTCGACTCTGGATAAATAAGAGAAATGTTAAATAAATGTATTTGTCTCAAGGTATACTTTGACGGGTTTTCATCTCCTTTTTCTCTTTCGTGGTGTGTATATACGCTCTCGTAGTCTTCTTTAACTAACGTTGCTTTATTTTTATATACTTGACTCTTGTCTTTAATGTATGTCAGTGTGGTTCAACAGCTATTATGATTAAATTGTAATTTCAGTTTGTAGAGGTTTAAAACCAACAAATAAAATCACCGCTAGAGAGAACAAGCCTTGTTAAAACTCAACGCTTTATAGTTAGTGAGATATAAACTTTGTGACAACTAGCCCCGGTGTTCCATTACACAGGTGTTAAATAAGAGCAAAGCTGAAAGTGGTCCTTCAGTACTTACAAATAATCACTAGAAATAGCAGGTTCATGTTGAATAAAGTGCAATCACGCTGATCTTGTTCAACACAAGTATTCTTATTCGCTCATGCAGCTCTTTTCTGTCTTGCAGGTCTTGCCACAGGTGTGTTGTCTCAGACTGTTGAAGTTCCCAGTGCCACAACCTCTCCAAGCCGCAGTTTTAGAGGACCGTTGGAACATTACAACAGTCTCATTCGAGATGGACAGTTACGAGAAGATCTGCAGCAGAGAGCTGCTTTGGAAACACTGGCTCAGATGCAAAAGGATCTTCGAGGGTACAGCAACGAACACTCAACGCTTTTCTCAAAGGTAAACCACACAAAATCGTGTGGCCTGAAGCAGCCAAAATATACCCTGCTGATGTTGAAATGCACTTTTAACATATTCACACTTCTTTTACGTCCACAACAGTTCTTCTCCAAGAGAAAGCCACCGAAAGGTTATTACATATATGGAGATGTTGGTAAGTTCTGTGGCATCATGTTGTGGCTCCGTCAAGCTTTGTTGTCCTGGGGCCTGTTCTTCGCACGTCGCTTATTACATCCGAGATGAAATGTCAGATCCAAGATGATATCCTCGCTCTAATCAGGATCTGGCTAATTCGGTTCTTCGAACGCACCTGTTGTTGATGATTAGTATGGCTGGATTGAGTCATCTGAGATAATTGCGCGTTCATGGGTTGGTTTAAAAGGGGCTATGTATCGATACTCGAAACCGCGATCAGCAATGCAGCGATTGGCTGGCGGCAAGACAGCAACATCATATAATTAAAAAAGACACCTGACGAAAAACTTGACCAATTTCTGAACCTTTATAAGGAAACAGCCAAGCGAACAAAACTACATAAATGTTATAATAGATTAATTAAATTTGCACTTTTTTAAATTTTATTTTAATTCTTTACATGATTCCCAATTAGGCTATTTATATTCACGGTTTCTAATATTTGTACAGGCTTTACATTTTTATTTCAATGTAGTAATTAGCAATTCATTTAATTGTATATTTGAACAGATTTGTTACGTGACAGCATTAATTAAAGTTTCTCAAGGGTCAAGATCATGTTATCAGCATCTCCTGCGCTCCATCAAGCCACTCCCATAATAGCTGTCACCACTCAAATTAATGCACGACTCCACATTGTCTGTATAGCATGTGTGTAAGACTCGAAATACAATTATGAAGTAATAATTTTATGACGAATAAATCTTTCAGTGTGTAAAACTGGCTGTGTCTATAAAGACTACACAACATTATTATATTATCTTTAAATACATTTTTTAATTATTGTCCCTGGATTAGTAAGTACTCTTGTAATAAAGTAGCGGTGGTAGTGGACAGATTTTAAGTATCAATTCTGCTTAAGAAGATGCAATCTAATCCTGTTTACATGAAATAAGACTGCTCCCGATCAGGTTTAAGCTTACAGACCTGTTGCTATGACAGCAACTCCAGGATGAGCTTCGAAGAACCAACCAATCCAAGATCATGCCAAATCGTCAATAATCAAATCCAGCTAACTGAGTTAGCGACGTACGAAGAACGGGCCCCTGTTATAGAAATAAACTGCTCAGTTCTGTTATCAATGCTTATTTTCTCATTTTTTTTCTCATTCTCTCAGGCACAGGGAAAACTATGGTTATGGACATGTTTTATGATCATGTAGAGACAGCGAAGAAAAAAAGGGTCCATTTTCATGGATTCATGTTGGATGTACATAAACGTAAGTTTGTTATAATTTATGATTATGATTTTTTTTTCAGATTTGAACAAGATGCTGTAAATATACCCTTTATTAAGGTTTGTGCACTGATAATTCTTAGGTTCTGGTAATTTTTAATTAATTGGCTTTTTTATTTATTTTACTGTGTTTAACTATTAGTTTAATTGATTTTGTGACAACCTCATAACATTTGGTAAATATTAGACCACCGACACAACACATTTTCTCACCAACAGACTATTATTTTTCATTGTTGTCTGAAATGGACACTGTTTGTCTTCAATGTTTTCAAAGCTAAAGCCAGAAATTGGCTCAAAATGCATTATTTTAACAAAAATGAGTGACTGAAATGAGCCCCAAAATGACTCGTATAGGAATGCAAGTTCTGTATATCAATTATAAACAGATGCCAAAATTAATAAAGTTAAACAACAAATATAATGTCCGCACACTGATATAACTGCTCCATAAAAAAACTTTATTGCAACGTTTCGACCAACAGGTCTTCGTCAGGCACGAACGTTTTGACCCATTGCAATAAATCATTTTTTATGGAGCAGTTATATCAGTGTGTGGACATTATTGTTTTTTGCTTCAGTTTGTCTCCTTTGTCCTGCACCTGAGCCCTGTTTGGGTTTGTGGAATGTGCGCACCTTTTTTTTTTTGTATTTTTGAAAATTAGTAAAGATGCCATTATTTGCTTTTACTCAGATAGACTCATGTTTATATAGGAATCCATCGGCTCAAGCAAAGTTTGCCCAAGAGAAAAGTGGGTAAAATGGCGAAGGCGTACGATCCTATTGCACCGGTTGCTGAAGAAATCAGTGAGGAGGCCTGCCTTCTGTGTTTTGATGAGTTCCAGGTGAATGTTTTACTTAGTAATTGTGTAGTTGAAATCTAATCAAGCTTTGTAATCGCTTCAGCGTACTGAGATCTGCTTCAGTTATCTTTCAAATCCATGCAGTGGCAATCAAAGGGGTCCAGAGAATAATCGGGATTGATTTTTAAGGTTTCTTTTGCTTTCTCTGTTCATTAGGTCACTGACATTGCAGATGCCATGATTCTTAAGCAGCTCTTTGAGAACCTCTTCTTGAATGGGGTTGTAGTTGTGGCCACGTCTAACCGGCCTCCAGATGGTAAGAAGCAATGGATCCAGCTAAACTAGTCTGAATGTAGTTGCTAATATACACATTCTTTTGGGTTTGGTGGTTTGACTTCTCAGTTGCTTATACGAATTTGAGAGATCAACCGACTTTGAAAAGCCCAATATTTGCAAAATCATTTCTTCGGTGTGATGCATATGCCATTTTGTATTATGCACCAGCAGTGACTGTGCAGCACTATAAAAAAATGATTTTTCAAAGTGAATAACAAATATTATTGGAGTATGTTTTGCAAGAAAATACAATGTCAGCCTTTCTATTTAGAAATGTCATGTTTAAAGGGGTCATGACATGAGAAACCAAATTTCCCTTGATCTTTTGACACAGAAGAGGTCTTTGTATGCTTAATACATCCTGCAAGTTTCATAACTTAAAATGTCCTCATCATCAATAAAAAAGCATTTATGTAATAACCCTCAGAAAACGGCTCGTTTTGGATCAGAGGGACAAGGTGACGTCACCTGGGCACAGTCGTTTGCATATGACCGCCTCCAGAGCAAGACAACTACACCTATTTTTGCATCACTGCATCATTGTCACATCCACAGGTGTTCAGTCGATGTACAGCACATGGGTCTGAAGGATTAGTTGTTTACAATAAGATTGCGATGCCAGGCAGACGATGTGCCGTTCCTGGCTGTGGAAAAACAACATGTTCGTATACGCAGTTGAAGGATCCAGACGTCTGAGAAAAATGGATTCAGTTTATTTTTAGCGAACGTCCCAGTCACGTCAGTGCTAATTTACACGCGTGTTCAGTACATTTCACCGTTGACTGTTTTGAGAAAAAAATCGCAGTATGATGCTGGCTTTGACAAAATATTTTTGCTCAAAGATCAGGCCATGCCAACTGTTCTGGACCCAACAACGATGCCGCAAACTGTAAGTAACGTATTTCATGTAAAAACTATCTTTAAAATGGTAATGCATTAGCCAATCATAAAAGTGGGTGGTTACACTTATTTCACCATTGACTGTTTTGAGAAAAAAATCGCAGTATGATGCTGGCTTTGACAAAATACTTTTGCTCAAAGATCAGGCCATGCCAACTGTTCTGGACCCAACAACGATGCCGCAAACTGTAAGTAACATATTTCATGTAAAAACTAATTTTAAAACGGTAATGACGGTAATGGATGTTAGCCAATCATAAAAGCTGGCGGTAACACTGACCTCTTAAAGGGAAAACACCCCAAAATCGACTGCTTCAGTCAGAGGATGAGAAACAGGGTGGGAAAAGGTCATAAATCACTCAAATTTGAATGTTTTTTGTCCAAAAAACTATAGTAATATTATATTTACATCTCAGGGAACATAATAAAATAAAAAATAAAAACATGTCATGACCCCTTTAATCATTTAACATGCGCTTTTATCCAAAGTGACTTACAAATGAGGAGAAGAAGCGTATTTCATGTAAAAACTATCTTTAAAATGGTAATGCATAGGCCAATCATAAAAGTGTTAGCCAATCATAAAAGTGGGTGGTTACACTGACCTCATAAAGGGAAAACACCCCAAAACAGTCAGAATATAAGAAATGTCGGAAAAGGTCATAAATCACTAAATTTTGAATGTTTTTCGTCCAAAAAAACTTTAGTAATATTATAATTATACCTCAGGGTACATAATAAAATAAAAACATGTGGATTCAGTTTATTTTTAGCGAACGTCCCAGTCACGGCAGTGCTAATTTACACGCGTGTTCAGTACATTTCACCGTTGACTGTTTTGAGAAAAAAATCGCAGTATGATGCTGGCTTTGACAAAATATTTTTGCTCAAAGATCAGGCCATGCCAACTGTTCTGGACCCAACAACGATGCCGCAAACTGTAAGTAACGTATTTCATGTAAAAACTATCTTTAAAATGGTAATGCATTAGCCAATCATAAAAGTGGGTGGTTACACTGACCTCTTAAAGGGAAAACACCCCAAAACAATCAGAATATAAGAAATGTCGGAAAAGGTCATAAATCACTAAATTTTGAATGTTTTTCGTCCAAAAAAACTTTAGTAATATTATAATTATACCTCAGGGTACATAATAAAATAAAAACATGTCATGACCCCTTTAATTCAATGTGTTACTTGCATTTTCTTTGAGATTTTTATATGACATTTACTAGCAATTTCTGAGTGAAAATTGATTTGAAATAAATCATGCACAATTTTTTTTTTCAGTGTAGCCATCACACAATGTGCAGTTTCTTTCAGTATCTCTTCGCTTCCAAATTCCAGTTTGTTTGAGCACAATATCTTGTTTTACAGATCTGTACAAAAACGGATTACAGAGGGTGAACTTTGTGCCTTTCATCGCTGTGCTAAAGGTAAGCACTTCATCAGCAGGTGTATTATCTAATACACTTAGTGTTGTGTTTATTGGTGTAACGTAGTGTACTTAA